CAGGTTGCGCGGTGTCGTGCAAGTGCTGTTCATGGCTCTCGCTTTGTGTCGCTTTTGCAGTGCTGGGCGCATTTGGCGTAGTAATATCTACATCCCATAAGGGCTCTAGCCGCTCGTCAGAAGAAACATCAGAAGACTTTTGCTTGCTATTTTCTGGCAAAAAGCCTCTAGATTGGGGTTTAGTCAAATCTGCAGATTCTGTAGCTCCCATAGCTTGTGCAGCGTTGCTTAAAGCCGGCTCTATATTAGCCTGACGCAGCTTGCTTTTGTGCGCAGACCAAGCGCCATGCGCTACTACAGCAGCGAGCACCAACCCTGCCAATATCGCCAAACCTATCGTTAATTCCCCCATAGCATTTTTGCTCCCAATTTATTAGCGTTAATTTTTATGTTATTTATTAAATAGTACTGCATTTTATCTCTGAATTTTTTGTTTGACACTATGTCGCCATCGCCACAGCAGCCTGCATGTCCACAGCCACCACGCGCGATACACCTTGTTCTTGCATGGTTACGCCGATGAGCTGCTCTGCCATTTCCATGGCAATTTTGTTATGGCTAATAAACAAAAATTGGGTCGCTTTGCTCATGCTTTGCACCAGTTTGGCGTAGCGTTCGGTGTTGCTATCATCTAGTGGCGCGTCTACCTCATCGAGCAGACAAAAGGGTGCGGGATTTAGCTGAAAGATGGCAAATACCAAAGCAATAGCGGTAAGCGCCTTCTCGCCACCCGATAGCAAATGGATGGTTTGGTTCTTCTTGCCAGGAGGCTGCGCTTGCACCTGCACACCAGCATCCAAAATTTCCTGCCCTGTCATAACCAAACTTGCCTGTCCACCCCCAAATAACTTGGGGAAAAGCTCGCCAAAATAGCGATTTACGGTGTCAAATGTGTTACCAAGAAGCTCACGGGTTTGGGCGTCAATTTTGGCAATAGCGTCTTCAAGTGTTTGAATAGCATGGGTTAAATCTTGGTTTTGGGCCTCTAAAAACTCTTTGCGTTCGCGCGCAGCGCCAAGCTCCTCAAGCGCCGCCAGATTAACTGCCCCTAAAGCACTGATTTCACGCTGCGTTTGCTCTTGCTTGGCTAACAAAGCAGTAAGCTTGAGATTTTCACTCTGCACACTCTCAGCCAAAGCTTGCATATCTGCTTGTGCTTCAGTTAAAAAGTTCTCATATTGCTGCATCCCTAGCCTGGCAGCCTGCTCTTTGAGCTGGGCTTGCGTAATTTGCTGGCGCAA